TTTGAAATCTATTCATCACATCCCTGCATCGCAGAAATTTCCGTGTGAATACAAAAATCTTACTCTGCATTGGATCAAATGCAGTCCGGGCTAATGTACAGATTCTGTAAACAAATGCTCCATGATTAATCACAGGGCAGCTGCATTATGAGATGAGCACAAATATTCATGGGGAAAAGCTTTGATGCCTTTCATATGATAATTGCAGCCAACACATGAGCCGCTTTTTTACCGTGTTACAAGGATCACTTTCTTCTGCCAGGCAATTCTGTAATAGTTGGGAGGCAAACCGGAAAATGATACACCTGTCAAATATTCTCTCCGATTTTAAACTATTTGTGCAAACTCGCATTGTTTGCTTCCTGGAATGAATTCAAGTCGTCTTTTTATTCCCAGATGCACAGCTGTCCCATGTTGATTTTGAGGGCATTGTTTACAAAAGTCACAAGCTGAAAAGCACACGGGGGGGGGGGTGGAGTTGGTGCTGGAAAGGATTTTAAGGTGAAGGCTGCACCAAACCCATTTTGTCAAAATCTGCATTGTTTAGCTCTGCACTGCTCCAGGACTAATCTTTACGCATTTCCTATGCCTATGTGTTTTGCATCCCCATACCGTGGTACCTCGGGTTAAGAACTTAATTCGTTCCGGAGGTCCGTTCTTAACCTGAAACTGTTCTTAACCTGAGGTACCACTTTAGCTAATGGGGCCTCCCACTGCCACCGCGCGATTTCTGTTCTCATCCTGAGGTAAAGTTCTTAACCCGAGGTACTATTTCTGGGTTAGAGGAGTCTGTAACCTGAAGCGTCTGTAACCTGTAACCCGAGGTACCACTGTAATTGCAAACATGGGTTTCCTCCTTATATATATCAATCACCTCTCAGCCAATTCACTTAAGGCAGTTATTGGTAGAATGGCTTCCAATATAATAGACGTGATAACTGGCTGCCCATATGCTAGGTTCTTATATTCATTTACAAGGCTATTGACAACTTGGATCCAGGATACCTCAAGCACCACCTGATACCTTATACCCCTACTAAATCACTAAGGTCTTGGGGGGGTTCACTGTTAGTGGTCCTCCCCTGACTCAGGTGCATAGCTCATTCACCAGAAGCCATGCATTCAGTAATATGGGCCTGATTTAATGGAACTCCCAGGTGAGGTCAAACATTTAAAGAGGAGAAATCGTGGTGGGGAGCCCATGGCACAGGCATTTTGGTTTCATTTCTTTAAAATTGTTTTCTATGGGAACAGAAGCCAGTGTAGAAAAAAGCCAGAGAGAACTTCATTCTTGGTTCATTATAGAGGTTCCGAGAACACTATAAGTGTTAATCTTTATTTTTTTTTCCTTTCTGTGGCTGCTCTGCTTAGGGGGCAAGTCTTTTTAAAAGAAACCCTCTCATTACTGGATCTCCTTTAAAACGTCTGCTTTTTAAACTTGTTATTGACAGTTCTCCAGACTGTATTCCATCTGATACTCTTTTAAATGTGTTGTGGGAGGGGGGATTATTGGTTTGCTTTTGTTCTTATTTGTATTCTGTACTCTGTCTTTTATATATAGAACTTTTTTGTTGTGATCCAGCCTGAGATCTACACATGAAGGATGGTATACAAATGTAATAAATTATTATTATTATTATTCCATAGCCAGAACTAGCTTGTGGGAGAGTAGTATTCACAGCAGAAACCACTCAGAAGTCAGTCTCATGATACTGAACGCCAAGCCATAGCACAGCGAGTCACTACTAATGCTGGCCAGATCAATTTTCAATTTATTGTGTTAGTGCAAGATGCTTTCACTCTGCTTGTACTGGTGAAATAACTTGAGACTCCATTGCACCCAGCAGGTGTTCCTTCACTTGGTGAACAGCTGCTGTAATGGCTCCCGTCACCCCTCATTCCACACACAGATGTGCTGCTTCTATGGGAACAGAAGCCAGTGTAGAAAAAAGCCAGAGAGAACTTCATCCATTCTTGCTTCATTATAGAGGCTCCGAGAACACTATAAGTGAACTGTGAAGGTTAGTCTCCCATTGTTTAGATGGAGAACTGAGGCAGTCAGAAAACGCTTTATGTAAAATCACTGAGTGGTCATTGTTGGCGTGTAGCCATTCCTGGCCCATTTCTGCTTCTCTTTTCTTTCTGAAGCAGGTAAAATGCAACACCCAGGCACAAAAGTAGAGGGGCTAAGGAAAGCTGTGTTCAGTGGGCTTCTGCTTCAACAGTCAGAATTCTTAAAACATGGAATTGTTCTTTTCCCTCCTCCTAGGTCCTTAATGAAATAGTGCTGCTTGCATTTCCACCACTGAATCTCCCTAAAAATCTCATGTTACCGCCTTTGAACTCCTGCAAACGTTACAAAATTCTTTCTTCGGAAATCCTGAGTGCAAAATAAATACATAATAGACCCAACACAAGTTGAACAAAACAGCCTTTGTTGCTCCATCTGGATACTTTTTCTTGGCTCGAATTGCTACAAACATACGTGCTGAATGGCCTTGATGCATAGGCCCGTGGAGAAGATCAAGCACAAATTATGCTCTTCCTGTTATACCAATTAAAATCCACAGGTGCAACACAACTTTAATCAGAGCACTGCAGATACACCATGTGCCGTGGAGACCAGGCACACGAATTATTTGCTGTAGGGCTGCTTCTTGTATCATAGTGCTCTTGGACCTTCCAAACGCAGATAATGTACTATTGTCAACATAAGGTCTCATGAAAGAAAAACAGAGTGGGAAACTTGCTCATTAAGGCTACCCGCAAACCACTGGGTTCATTCTCCTAATCCATTTTCTTCCTTTATTGATACACGCTTGAAATAGTCACGCTGCATTCGTGGGATACTGATGTCTTAAAATGATATCGGTATGACGCACAGAACACCTGCAATAGCAAGAAATGACTCTCAGGGGAACTGGGACACACATTGCAAGGAAAGGAGAAAAAACCTTGTCAGTTCTACTTGGGGAAAGTTCTTTCGTGATGCCAAATATAATGAACAGAGATATCATCTATGAAACAGGGCTGCCAGTTTCCCACTTCCAGCTCACTCTCAATATTAAGTGGTGAGAAAATTGAGTGAGGTCATAATATTGCAGGAGTCTAGTAGAAGACTGCAGTATAATAAGCCTTTACCACAAGTATACGGGGCAGGGGTGACTCGTTCATTACTGTCAAGTCCATGGGCAGACTTCTAAGCACCTTCAATAAGGTAGAGCTGGTAACAGGATAGTCCTATGGGGAAAACGTGCACCCACTGTCTTTTTGCTATTGTAGACAGATTCTAACCTGGTATCCATATAAATGGACTTGAAGACACTGCAGGTTTCCATATTGCATTAACCAAGGGATGTCTTGATTCAATATTTGTTACACTTTGTTACACTTCACACATGCAGGGCAGAGGAAGAAAAGGGCTAAATTCCTTTACAAATTTTGCTATAGCCAAGGAACACCACACAATGCATGAAAACAAATGTGCACCTGGCTGGGAATTTAGCTTTCATGACATGCAGAACTGATTAAGTGGTAAACACTTTTCCTGAACACCATTCATAGGTCTTGTGGGACACAAGCTGTGCCACAGTAATTTATACAGGTAGTTCCTTTTTTAACGAAACGGTGCTAAACGAAACAAAAATGGTTAAGCATTAGTGGACACTAATTGTTTAACTAGCACCACCAGAGGTCAAGCTGAGTTATAGAAAAAGGTTGGCTTACATGAGAAATATTACAGTTTAATGAATGAAATACCTACCAGAGATTTGGAAACTGAAGAGCTAGCAAGCAAATGACTGAAAAACTTGGCAGAATCCTGATCAAATATCACACCAGCGGAATAAAGTTAGGGTTGTTTTTTTAACCCCAAAAGAACACTAGAAAGATGAATAGGAGTGTCCCTTGGATCCCAGATCATATTTTCCTTCTTCACTTACACTGAGAGAGAAGTTGACTTGATATATCAGTGTTTCTTAATTGATTTGCCTAAAGAGCATTCCATGTGCAATTCAGGTATGTGCCTACTGTACATCTGTGTACAGGGCATGGGTAGAAACAGGATACAAACTGTTTGCAAGGATTTATATCAAGAGAAATTTCTCCAATTCCAACACGATACTACAGCTGAAAACATCTGAACCTATTTCTACTAATTTTGATGTGGGACTGTGTCAAATTGGTTCACTACTCATGTAGACCAAAGTTAGGTACAACTCAATTCACAGACTGGCCTCCCATCAGTATTGCAAAGCTAATAATCCAACAGCTTTACTTTCAGGTCTTAAGATCAATTTGCTGGCTCTTATTTTAACTGCAAAGGAACAAAGTCTGATTTGAAAATCAATGGCAGGCCACAAATGTGAAACATCACAATTCACACCTGCATATTCAAAGACAATAAAGTTTCAAAGATGGAGGTTGCCCCATCTACTCTCAGCAGCCAGAAACATCATAGCCAGACACTGGAGGGACCTGTCAGGAATAAACATGGAACACTGGTATCAAGTAGTATGGGAAACAGCCTTACAAGAAAAGTTAACCAATACACTGAAACTGACACGGGGACAAATAGAAGAGGATGCCTTCACTCTGGTATGGCTCCCCTTTATCACATACACAGCCCAACAAGACAACAACATGAACCCACTGACAGCATACGATTCAAAATGGCTAACTTAAGCAAACAACTCTCCCCCCCCCAAACAAATCCCACTGCAGTCAATCAAAGACAATCAACCACACCCTAGGCCACGCCAACCTCTCTCACCACCAAGGAAACATAACAAGAAAATAGAAAGAGAACCTACCCAAGTGATGCTGACACAAAAACCCCACACATACACTAAGTAAATGAACATAAGCTTTACCACCCCACCCCCTCTCCCGTTACTCCCTCTTTTCTTCCCAACCCTAAACTGCATATAACACCTATGTCTCACGACAAATGCAACTGATCTGCAGAAAACGCAACCTGAAGAAAGAGACAATGCACGTGCTTTTGTAAATGAGGAAAATCTTTAATAAACATTATTTTGAAAAAGAAAAAGATGGAGGTTGCACTGGGATGGAAAGAACACATAAAATGGTGCACATCATTTTAGGCAGCTCTGCACAGCTGCCACAATATCTTGCAAAATGCTGTCTCTATTCTCCTTTGTAATCTAGAATCAGAAAAAAAAGATTAGTTAACGTTGCTGGCCATTTATTGTGACCAGTGTTAGAAACTGAGATATGAAAGCTAGGAGCTAAATGGCACCTTAAACCTAGGTTATGGGCACATCAAGGGAATGTCTAGGTGCGCTTTCTTATAGCAAGAATACAAAGCTGAAAATTAATGAACTGCAGCTAAAATATTGTGTTCATTTTCCACATTGTCTAGTCCTTTCCCTGTCCACCCCCCTAATATTCTTAAGAGGGTCTCTTCTCCAGTCTTCAGAGAGTAGCTGGAAGTGGAGAGGCAGAAAAAGGTTCTCCTTTCCTTCCACTCTACAGTTTTAATCTGAAATCTTAGGTGCAGCACAGCGCCCAGAGTTTAGAAACTGCTCACGCTAATGAAATTCCCTGTCGCAAAAGGCGCATAGAACAGGCATAGGCAAACTCGGACCTCCAGATGTTTTGGGACTACAACTCCCATCATCCCTAGCTAACAGGACCAGTGGTCAGGGATGATGGGAATTGTAGTCCCAAAACATCTGGAGGGCCGAGTTTTCCTATGCCTGGCATAGAACAATGGGAGTTTCGAACACTGATTGTGACAGTTGTCGATATGGAAGGCTGAGGAAGTGGGTAATTTCTTCACTGTAATTCCACCATGGGAGAAATTTTCTTTCTGGCCCCAAGGTATCCACCTCCAAATTACCCAATTTGTATGTTAACTGCTTCACAGCAATCAGGTTCAATAGACTGCATGTGCTGCTGCAGATGTGAAAATATGCAACCAGGTGCAGTGGGTGCTGATGGCATATTACCAAACTAGCAAAGAGATGCAAGAGGTGTAAATTATGAATGAGTGAACTTTATATGCCATGTTTGCAGAGGAAAAAAAGGGCCCTGGAAAGGATAGGAGGCGCAACGATCCTCCTTCCAGAGGGCTGAAAGCTTTTATAGGCAAAACACTACGAGCATCCCAAGCATGCATGACCTAAATTAGCAAGAGCTATATTGGACAATTTAAAGTGGGAGGAAACAAAAGACGTTTGGGCAAAGATCAACTTGCAGAATCAATCTGGGGATGGAGCTGCTGATGAGCTAGGGGGGGAAAAGTGGAACTATAAATCCATATTCTTAGAAGTTTCTATCAAACTAAATTGACACAAATGAATCAAGAACATCTTGGGCATTTGCCTGCATTGATTTTGTGTCTGGTACTTCTGGTTTCGTGAGGTGCAATCTAAAGAGGCCTTGACATGTTGATACCAGGTGCCAGAAACAAACATGAGGAAGAGCTATTATGCAGGCAGATGAATTAAAAGGTCTTCCGACACAAACAAGCAACAAGAGAGCAATGTGGTGGAAAGCGGTAGGCTTCGCGGACACTTCTCATGCTGTTGTTGGTCCTGAGGAATCTGAAATGTTTTCCTTCCTCTAGTGGCAAGCAAAAAAAGAAAGAAAGTGTGTTGCATTTGTTTTAAGGTCTTCCCTTAAAATATCTAATGGACTGAGGGGCTTTCAAAAGAACTCAAGTTAATTGACCAGGTTGGGCCCCTTGTGCACCCATGAACAGAGGTCTCTGTAGCCAGCCGCTTTCATTAGCTGAACGCCATAGCTAAGGTTTACATACGACTATAACCGAGTGCATGAGGACACACCATCCTATTGGCAGAGGACATGCTTAGCCCACAGAAGATCCCAAGATCAATCCCCACCATCTCTAGTGACAAAGATGGAACTATGAGCCCCTCACAAGCAGGAAACCTATTCCCCCAAAGGACATGCAATCCTGTCCAGAACACAAACCAAATGGTGGTAAGAGCTGATTGCTAAAACTGGGCCAGACATGGGCAAAAGATGAAAACTTGCTTAGTGGATCTTCAGCCTACTTACATTGAAGACCTTCACCTCCTTTCTACTTCTGATCTCCTCCACAAGCCCCAAGGGCTTTCCTTTAGGCACTGGGATTGTTCCAAGAATCACAGTTCCTGATCCAATCAGAATTTGACGGGCAGCTTGAATAAAGGACTGGCTGAAGAGCTCCATTTTACCGATCTCGTCAATTATGCAGACCTTTTTCACTGTGCTACTGCCAAGATCAGGCTGTAAGGAAAATACAGATATCTGATTGAAGCCACCAGTAAGAAAATTTAGTAGATTAAGTCAATATGTCAATCATTCATTCAATTTATTACTGTCAATAGACCAGTAATAAAATTAAAACATACACAGTAGATCAGAATCTTAGAGCAAAACAGATTCAGAAGTGCGACATAATAACCTCTGCTTGGCCCCTGGAGATAGTCCTTCCAGATTCAGATGGCGAGTTGTTCTCTTGTTTTCACTGCTACTGATAGAAATTTAGTCACTATCAGGGATGTCCTCAGGATTTTATCTTCCATTGAATATTAAACGTTAAACTGATCTGACCTCCCTGGTAATTTGGTCAGTAAAGGGCCAACTGTATGCTTCCAAAGAGAGCCAGTGTGGTGTAGTGGTTAAGAGCGGTAGACTCATAATCTGGGGAACCGGGTTCGATTCCCCGCTCCTCCACATGCAGCTGCTGGGTGACCTTGGGCCAGTCACACTTCTTTGAAGTCTCTCAGCCCCACTCACCTCACAGAGTGTTTGTTGTGGGGGAGGAAGGGAAAGGAGAATGTTAGCTGCTTTGAGACTCCTGAAGGGGAGTGAAAGGCGGGATATCAAGTCCAAACTCTTCTTCTTCAAATTCCAGCATAAAAATTACAGAACAAAAGGATTTGTTCTATAGATTCTACCTCATGTGTGTTACAGGGGCAGACCCTTGGGGCTTTTACTTCTGAGAAAAAAAGTTGTGTATCTGCAATGCATCGTTATAACAGGGCAATTCTATGAGTGCTTCCTTGGAAGTAAGTAATACTGAGTTCAAAGGGCCTTACTCCCAGGTTAAATGTGTACTGGACTGCAGCTTAAGATTCAAGTCATATAACAAAGATCCCAACAGCTTTGCTCAGATCACCTCTTTCTTTAACAAACTATAGTTTTACATTACTACACCATGCATTTTTGTTCCTGTTTGTCCTTCTTTATCTGCCTGCCCATCTGGTGCTCCTCATCCTCACAAAATCATTTTTAAAATTATTGTTATGTTGGTCTGACTACATATATGGTCCTGCACCTACTGAAATAACAGTTGACAGAAGCTAGCTAAAGTGGTGTTATTTCACCCTCTGGAGTTCATTGTTCTGTCCAAACCACTTATTACCCTGCTGCTAAATACTCTATGATGCTTTTTAAAAGAAAAGGAAAATGACAGGAAATGCCTTTGTACTTTCCTAAAATGAGGCATATCTGTATTAAACGCTTTGTGTTTGGATAAGCTCTGCGGGATAAATGAGTTATGGTAGAGCATATAGTTTGTCAGCATCGTTCCTGGAGAATTTTCAGGACACTAAGTGTTTTCTAATTTGTTTAGTGATCACATCGCTGATTTATCTTGGAATTGCATTTACCAATCCTAAATGGTGCTGAATAAGAGCAGTTATACAGTCACCCACACAGTTGCAAATTTCTCCAGTGGCGTTTTAGCTTCCCAATAGTCCTGTAAGCCATGTGTTGAGAATCATTTGCTCTTTTTTGCAACTGAACAGGAATCTGAACCTGTAAACCAAATATGAGAACTGGGAGGAAGGGGGCTTCAAACGCTGTGTGTCCACTCTTACACTGCACACCAGAACTCTGGGTAACACACCAACTTCCATGCAGTGCAAGAGGATGGGGTGGGGAGAGACAGACAGACAGACATGTAGGGAGCTGTGGGTGCAGAGGGACAGGAGGATGGTGGGAGCTGGGAAAACTCATAAATGGAGCTGACAATGGAAGGGGGTGCTCAATCTAAGCTCTACCAAGATAGAAGAGTACAAGACATTTCACTATAAACTCCTCATCATGTATTATCCATTTATTCATATTGATCTCCAGAAATTCCAAAATATTACTCACATTTCTCAACAAAGGAAGAGTCAACTGTTCAAATGATATTAGATCCACTACATACTGGCCAACGCGGTATTCACGCCTTGCTGTGGAAGGACCAGAGCTGAAGAAAGGAAGAAAACACCCAACACAGTGAACAATAAAGCATTCTAGAACCCTGTTCCTTTGCAGATAACCCTCAGACCATGTGAAGCATGTCAACATTTTCACATGCCCTTGCAGTGCCCCTCTTTAATCCCATTAGAATGTCCTCCCACCTTTCTTAGATGCCCCAGGTGGTTGCTAATATTGCAATCCTGGTGGGATATATGCACAATATCACAATGAAACACATCAACTGGAACCAGAAAGTGGCAGCTACTAAGAACAGAATTCTACAAAATCTGGTAACTGCCCCTGGGTGATATAAAGAAGGCGTGGGATTGGCTCAACACCCATATAATTGTTCCAGAAACTTGCTGTAAATTTTAACTGGGAGTACAGTTGCTCGTCATTTGCACTGCACATCATTCTGGTGGACCCTGACTATTCCTGCGCCTGTTGCCTCTCATTTATTGCATGCCCTGATACTTTGCTTGGTTTTTTGCCGTTTGGCAGCAACAAGTCAACACTAAAGATCAGCACAGCGACTTCACGATCTTATTCACCACTTCAACGGTTCATCTGATTCCAGCTACCCTTGAATGAGCAGCACAGGAGCTTCAAAGGGCAGTTGTGCATTCTACAAAGGCGTTCCCAGATTAGGTGTCAGAATGTGAATTTTCAACGTCATACCCAACTCTAGACAAAATTCCTCTTCTTCCACTCAGAGTGACAACATCAAATCCTATTCTCCTGCCACCTTCTCTCACTTCTTCTGTATAAAATCCATCAATAGGGATACCGGATGATTTTAAAACTTCAGTGGCTTTCTGGATCAGTGTTGTTTTTCCAATTCCTATAACAAGAAGAGTGTTTTTAAAGCTTTGTTTTCAGTATCATGGATGTGCAACAAAACAAATACACATATGTATTTCTGGACTCCTTTGGCTCCTTCCTCCTAACTGAAGCACACATTGTCCTTGCAATGGATGCTTCATCCAAATTGGCCTCCAGTTGTGGCAGCCTGCACTGCAAGTTATGCTGAGAAGAATTCACCATGCACACCGGAGTCATCATTATTGTAAGTCTTTGTGCCCCTTATCATGGCAAAAATATGAGATGGAAACATGAAGACATGACACAATGGGTCTGGTCTACCGGGCACATGATCCTACACACTGTGATCAGATTGTTCCCCATTTGTTTCAGGGGGAGAATGGTCAAGGCTGTGCCGTTTGCATTTTGGAGCTCCCAGGCAAGTAACACATTAGGTCATTGCATATATATCCATTGTCTTTTTTTGGATACATTCCCAAGTGTCAGTTTTTAAGAGAGAGGGACAGTCTAAAAAAATGGAAGAGCATCTGCTTAGGTATTTTGTAGCCCTCTCTACTACAAATATCCCCAGTGACAAATATCCCCAGAAGTGATAAATGAGGGCCATCATCTCAATTTCTGCATCTTCTAGAATGCTACACGATAAAAGAGTTTTGCTTATTAATGTAACATCCACCCACCCCAAGCTCTATTGCCGTCATCTTGTATAATCATATTAACATCCACTGATAAATGACTGTTTCCTTGGCTCATAATTTAAATTTTCAGGAATCCAATTTACTCCAATAAAAGAGGAGGACAGTGATAATTGTATATTATTTAGATCTGATGTACTAAATCATTTTTTAATAATTAAGTCACACAAACTAAATGTTAATGGGAGGAACGGGTGCTTGCACTTTAACTGATGGGCAGATAGGGTTTCAAAAACCTGCAAGGATCAAAAAATGTGGCATGAGTTATAAGGAAAGGAAAAGAAATTAACCTTAATAATGCTAGCAATATGCGAGATCTGTAAAATATTTAAATGTGTTTTGTCAGATAAATCCAATTCCATATTTCTTCCAGAAATTACAAACAACTGTGTGTTTTCATGGTGCAACAGAATAGATATTGCAGCACAATACTATGCATACCTGTTCAGAAGTAGACCACACTCTGTGTGCACAGTGCTGCAGTCTTGAGTGGAAAACGTTTAAATGCTAAGGTTTGATATTATCATTATTGTACAGTGGTACCTCAGTTTACAAACTGAATCCATCCTGGAAGTCCATGTTAAACCAAAGCCATTCTTAAACCAAGGCATACTTTCTCTAATGAGGCCTCCCACCGCCAGTGCCCTTCCACCATTCGTAGACCGAGGTAAAGTTCGCTAACCGGAACACTACTTCTGGTTTTGCAGAGTTCGTATACCGAATAGCTCATAAACAGGGCTTGAACCAAGGTACCACTATATTATTTACAGAGAAAAGGACATACCTATTTGCAACCTACAATACAGTGGTACCTCGGGTTACATACGCTTCAGGTTACAGACTCCGCTAACCCAGAAATAGTGCTTCAGGTTAAGAACTTTGCTTCAGGATGAGAACAGAAATCGTGCTCCGGCGGTGCAGCAGCAACAGGAGGCCCCATTAGTTAAAGTGGTGCTTCAGGTTAAGAACAGTTTCAGGTTAAGAACAGACCTCCAGAACGAATTAAATACTTAACCCGAGGTACCACTGTACTAAGACAACAGAAGCCTGGTTTAATTCAAACACTATGCTGTGGGAGAGTGTCTTTCTGGAATAGTTTTCAGTAGACATATTTGGATCTGGAACAAAAGAGATAATGGGGCTCAGAAGCAATGTGGAAAGCGGAGGCGGAATTCCAAATATCTGAAGTAATCAGGCCATTTTCTTAGCCGCAGGTGTCTAGTAAAGATGATAAAATGAGTTATGTGCTGTTATATAGATAAATATTACCAGAGAGAAGCGTCTCTCACAAACAGTGCAAATGACTTCCTTTATTTAGTACTGGCATTTAAAGCAGAACAGGCTTACAACCAAACCTAACCATGCCTTCTATACGGGGGCTAAATTATGTCAGGCTGCAATTCTGCACCTGCTTCCCTGGGAGTAAACTTCGCTGAATGCAGTAGCACTCACTTCTGAATAAGCATGCATAGTATTGCACTACAAGGCTGTAATTCTTTATGTAGTTACAGTGGTACCTCGGGTTAAGTACTTAATTCGTTCGGGAGGTCCATTCTTAACCTGAAACTGTTCTTAACCTGAAGCACCACTTTAGCTAATGGGGCCTCCTGCTGCTGCCACGCCGCCAGAGCACGATTTCTGTTCTCATCCTGAAGCAAAGTTCTTAACTCAAGGTACTATTTCTGGGTTAGCGGAGTCTGTGACCTGAAGCGTATGTAACCCGAGGTACCACTGTACTTCAGAATAACCCCACTGAACTCAACAAGGTTTATTTCAGAGTGTAAATAATTGCAGGTTTATAGTCCAAGCAGGGCAGAGAACCTGAAGCCTGGAGACCAAGCATCTCCTTGAGTGTGCAGCATTGATCTCTCGTAATGCCTCTGGCTTCCAGGACAGAGAGGGATGCACAAGCGCCAGTGCAGACTTTAGCCTGGTGTGCAAAACTGAAATCTGCATTCATTGCTCTGTCCACTTTTGCCCCTGGCATGTACCCCGCCCCCCCCCCAAAGAAAGGTCGTCCAGATGGGAGTGAAGCCTTCTGGCTGAAAAGGGTTCCCCGCCCCAGCTACACACTACGTATTACCACTCAGATTTTATTATATTGTAAATTTCACCAGGTTCAATGGGGCTTCTTGTCAAGTTAAGTGGGTGCACCTAGGATTGCAGCCTGCGCGCTTAAACGCAAACCTTTCCAGTTTAAAAAGGTTTCGGGCTAGAAACCACACAGTGCAGGCGACTCAAAACACGCCAGGGAAGTGCGAGGGGGATCGTGGGAATGGGCGGGGGAGCGTGAGGCCCTAAGCACGTTTACTCGGAAGTAAGTTCGCCCCTGGCAGGCAGGAAGGGGCCGAGGCACGGCTCCGCTTTCTGCCCGGGAGGAGGCGGCGGAAGAGGAGGCCTGGTTTCAGCCGAGCTCTGCCTCCGCCTTCCCTTCCTGGAACCTCGCAGCACCGGGCCGCTGCCTAGGCAGGGCCTCCCGCCCTCCTTCCTTCCTCTCCGCTCCCGCCGGGTTGGGTTACCTGGCGGTCCCGTCAGGAAAACGTGCTTGGCCATGGCGGGGGCCTCCGTCCGGGTAGCGGCGGGGAAGCGGCCTGCCGTAGCGGGAGCCCTCGCCCTCTCTCCCTCCCTCCCTCCAGCCGCGCGCTCTCGGCAGCGGGGTAAAGAGCCCGCGGTGCTTCGGCTGCCAGCCTCTCTCTCGCCTTTCTCCGTCTCTGCTGCTTCCAAGTCCGGCAGCTCCCTTGCCCGCTTTGCGATGGACAGTTGCTCTTTCTTTTTCGTAGGCTTGGGCTGCGACGACCCCACGTTCACTTACTCGGGAGTAAGTTCCACCGTACACAGTGGGACCTGCTTCTGAGGAAGCATGCATCGCTTAAAGCGAGTCCCCTCCTGGCCTCTTAAAGTCTATCAACATTATTATGGCTTAATTTTATTCACTTATTTATGGCTCATATCATGAACCCCTCTGTCAAAGTTGTCATGGGCGCTGTAACTCCGCAGCGGTTTGACTTTACACGGAAGGTGCACGCTTCCATTGCCTCCTGAGACAGGCGGATGCCGACCAGTATTATGTTTTTCTCCAAGAAGCTCAAGGCGGCCTACACGGCTCTTCCCCTCCTCCCTTAATCCGCACAACCACCCTGTGAGGTAGGTTAGGCTGAGAGGCAGTGACCCAGTGAGCCTTGTGTCCAGGTTGGCATCTGAGCCCAGGTTTCCTATTCAGACACTAACCACTGGGTCTTTCATGGATTACAATCCACTTCATAAAGTGTTAGCCTGAGAAATGGGCTTGTATGTATATGCATCTGATTAAGCGGACTGTAACCCACCAAAGCTTGTAACATAATAAATTTAAGGGACAACGTGGCTCTGGTGTTTTCTCTGCAAGAGAGATAACATGCATGAGAACAACCTATGGTACACACACATCCCCACCATAGCTGTCAACCTTCCCTTTTTTTGCGGGAAATTCCCTTATTCCAGCAACGTTTCCCGCTGCTTCTCGCTGCTATCCCGGATTGTTAGATATCCCGTAGACAGGTGAGGCTGCTGTTCCCTTATTTTCAAATCTGAAAGTTGACAGCTATGAACCCCACTTTCCTCTCTGGTTTTTGCAGGTTTTTGCATTGTTTCAAAAGCCTGTGTACCCAGGGTTGAGAGATAGACAAACGGAACGGGTGTACATGATGGGAAGCAAAGCCTCATCACGTTCAATTTTGTTTGGAAACTTGCCTGCCTCTCCCACAAGTAAGCAGCTGCTAGGCTGTGGAGAAGTACTAAGCTGTGAGAATTACCATTTTTTAGGTGATCGCTCCTAAATGGCCCCAGTAATCTGTCATGCTCTCTTCAAATTCTATTAACTTATTATTTCCTAATGTTCATATCCTGTCTTTCCTCCATCATGGACCCCATGGTGGGGTACACATTCCCAGGTAGTCACTCATCCACACACTGACCAGTTTAAGACCTGATCAGCTTCAACAAGATGGTAGCCTCGTGCCTTCAGACCATACCCAGAGAGAGTGGTATTAACCACATTATTTGCATGCAGCTTGTCCGTCCCATACACTGGTGCTCTGTGGAACATAACAGGAGCCCCAGTTCAAATTCTCCCCCTCCTGTTCTGTTTGTATGGCTACTGGGATCCATTCAGCATTTCAAATTAAAAGAAAATCAATTTATGATTCTGAGTCAAAATGGCAGTAAAACAATGGAAACCACATGGGAAATCAGTGGTACAATTGAAGACTGAGCAAGATATAAGGGAAAGATGAAGGACAGGAAGACTGACCTGGGAGCAAAGCCAGTTGTTAACAGATTACCAAACAGAGCAATAACCCCTTCCCATACAATGAATAGCCTTGTACCCTGACACAGGGACATGCAGTTATCTATGGCCAGAAGAGTGGGTCTTTATTGCCTTTGCAAAGTTTTAAAATAAAAATTGCATTTTAAAAATAAAAATTGCAGCAGCAAATTGGGGTTTGAATGCTGGAAGCATGTGATTTCCACACAACAGAAGCAATTTCTTCAGTAAAAGATCGTGTGGATCCTGCACTACAAAGTGAATATGTGATTCATTGGTTTGATTAATTGAATTAAAACTTGTAATCAAATAAAAAGGTGCCACCAATTAATCAGGCAACAGATTTATATTATAATTGTTGATAATATATAACAACTGCAGATGGGAAACATCATCTCAAAAGAAGCATTTTGCTTTCTGTGTTGCAAACTGGAAGAGGTTATTCTTCTAAGATTATGACTGATTGACACACGTCCATAATCTAGAAACAAAGACGGTATGCATGCTGCTTGTTCTGCTTTTACTCATGTGATGCTCCAATACTTTGGCCATCTTATGAGAAGAGGAGACTCCCTGGAAAAGACCCTGATGTTGGGAAAGATGGAGGGCACAAGGTGAAGGGGACGACAGAGGACAAGATGGTTGGAGAGTGTTCTTGAAGCTACCAGCTTGAGTTTGACCAAGCTGCGGGAGGCAGTGGAAGACAGGAGTGCCTGGCGTGCTCTGGTCCATGGGGTCACGAAGAGTCGGACACGACTAAACAACAACAACATGGGTTTAATCGACTTAAACCCATACAGTTAATTGACTAACATTGTAGGTGGCAGTCTTAATCATTGCACAAAAGCCTTACCTGTAAAGCCTCTTGATGGTTCCTCATACTTTCTGCCCACACCATGAAATGTTTGCTTTTAAAACAAACTTCTAAAATACAACTTTCCCTGGGCTCAATTCTACTTGCTCGAATTTTTCTTTAAAATTAAAAATTTAAAAAATCACCTAATAATCTCACATGGGGGATTTGCTGTGGTGAACTCTGTGGCAGGCATACTTTGCATATGCTCAGAGACATCTCTTTTCCAGCCATCTCAAAGGGGAGGAAAGGGTCTAATAATAAGGTATTAGAAGCAAAATTAGCTACCAAAAAGGCTTTATGTTCGCAACATTGGAAAGCTCCCATTCAAATTAATCAGAGGGAAGAACAGAACTTCACTCCCCTCCAGACACACTTATCAGATAGTGTAAATCAAATAGCTCTGGACTAGCAAACCTGGGGCTCATGTTGATAGAACAGATTACAAAGCTTGAGAACAGGACCATCAATCAGCAGATAGACATTTCAGCTCCATATTTTGCTGAAATTTCAGCTTCTAATTTGCCAAAGGGGAATGATGAAAGCTCTGTACTTCAGGGCAACACAACACATTCTAATTGGAGTGGGGGCCTTGGTGGAAATCTACTGTAATTTAGGGAAGGGTATAGATTTGAAATGCAGCGTAGGCTTTTTTCTTCTGCAGGGTAGAATTTGGATTCCGGAGTTCATCCCAGCAAATTATCAAGCAAGGGGAAGTGTATCTCCTACAAGCACACTGTAAAGCCTGAATGAATTTCTAGAGCTTCTGGTTGAATGGGGAAAATCAATTAGCAGCAAGTTTCCAAATCAATGGCTGAGAAAAGAGGTCATTTAACCAACTGCTATTCGCTAGGGGAGGAACTGGAAGGAGAGAATGAGAACAATATTAGGCTGTGACCTGTGCCCTTGCTTGGATTCAGTAGTTTACACTGAAAGAATTGTAATCTTATAAAGCAAAGCCCAGCTTGGGGCTCTAATTCTGTGCTTGAGGGCACCATTTCAGCTTCCAGGAGTGGGAAAACAAGATTTCATTAGGTGCAGGGCAAGATTTGCAGAAAGGTCACGGTTTGGGTATTTTCAAAATTAAATTGCAAAAAATTGTATATTTGAAGGGGATTTGTTCTGGCTCTTTATTATTATGAAGTATAATATTATGTTATTATTAAGTATACTATTATGAACTATAGCAATCCTAGCAACAGTGGTCTTTTTTATTTTTTAAGGAGCTTGTGCTTTTGATATGCAAACCTTGGTGTATGTAATTTTTTCTAGCAGTGTTGAACCAATGAATGCATATAGGTTGCTTCAAAGGAATAATGTCTGAAATATGGAAGGGGTGGTGGTGGATTACACTCCCTACTGTCTTCTTTTTTTGTTCTCCAATTAATTTCCTTTGATTTATCTGAAGAATGTTGCATTGCAATATATTCCCCTATCTCTTAACTTGGCGCGCCTACAAACTGCTAGCATTTGACCAAAAGGATTCAAGAGCATACATCTGAAGGCAGCCCTGTTTAGGGAAGTTTTTAATGTTTGATGTTTTATCGTGTTTTTAATACTCTGTTGGGAGCCACCCAGAGTGGCTGGGGAAACCTAAATAATAAATTGTTGTTGTTAGAAAATGTAGGTTTGCACAATTAACATGGATTAAGCAGTGTTTCCCAATCGGTGTTCCGCGGCACACTAGTGTGCCGCGAGACGTTGCCTGGTGTGCCGCGAGATGTTGCTTGGAGGGAGGCGGGCGAGTCGGGCAGCGAGAGGCGGGGCGGCGGCGGCGAGGAGAGGCCGCCCAGTGCGGGGCTCTCGCCGTCTGCCTGCCTGGCTGCCTGTGTGGCGCTGACGTCACGGGGCTGTAACGTGCCCCACATAGGCACACGCGGGCGGCGAGCGAGCGAGCTCCCCACATCCCATCGCTGCTCGCTTCGGCCGGCCTACTGGGCTGTCGCAGGCGGAAGGCCTGCACATGCACGAGGTTTTCGCGCCTTCGGGATTCCCTTCACGCCTTCCTCCTCCCGGGTCCTTGAGAGCGCGGGAAGCGGCAGCGCGAGACCGGCGTTGAGCCTGGTAGGTATTGCGCTTGCCAAGGCAGTCATTTGGGAAATGAAAACTTGCAAAGCAAGCAACCAGTTCAATCTGAAGTACGTGTATGCTTAATATCCTGTATCTGAAACCTGTTCTGCCCCCTCCCCCACACTTGGTGCCATTTTCATCTACACATGCAGCAGAGTAAGTTGACCCAGAATAGTACCAATTCAGATGGCAGATGGGAGAATGACAGTGCTGAATGCTTTCCCATGTAGAACAGTCCCTGCAAATAAAAACCTAGCATATTTGGAAGAGGGATGCTAGCCTAACCATTACCTTCTATGCTGTTACTATTTTTTTATTTTTTTTAACATAAGTAAAAAGTGACCTTTCCCCATCTGGCATGGTGGTGTGCCTCGAGATTTTTTTCATGAAACAAGTGTGCCTTTGCCCAAAAAAGGTTGGGAAACACTGGATTAAAGCACTCTGTCACTCTAGTGCAAGAAATGTACTTTTAAAAAGAAACAGACCTTTAGTGGCTAGGGAAGAAATGGGGAATGATGAACAGGAAGATATAAAAATACCCCACAAGCAAATGTGGGTGAGTGCTCAATAAAAACCAGAGATAATCTAATTTTTTTTCAATGAATCCGGGGACACTTTTCAACTTCCTACTAA